AGCAGACAAAAGAAAGAAAGTCTGTACTGTGTGCAACAAGCGTTTCTGGTCTCTGCAAGATCTGACGCGACATATGCGGTCTCATACAGGTAAGAGGAGGCTTGAAGGCAGAACAGGCCATGAGGTGTCCCGCCAGACTGAGGTGTCTGCTCTGGAGGTGCACAATTGCTGCTGGCACTTGAGGTTGGAGACACTGCTTTTAGTCCTAAAGGTATCTGCAAGGTGTCTTCTGTGCCCCAGTCCCCCATGCTGCATACAAAGCCTACGGAGGGAACAAGAATTGCAGCCACTGCCTTATTTTCAACTCCCAAACTGTTTTTCCCCATGATTGCTTGCAGAGTTCAGAGGCGAGGGCAAGTGTGGAGATCCTTGGGCAGCTTCTGCCTCCCTTCTTACCATGTGTGTGGCTTTACTTCTTCCCAGTATTTTGACCAACAGTGGAGAGCTGTCATACTGATACCATTATCATGAGACTTCACATCTGAGTCAAAGTTTAGACAGAGAGAGATAAAGAGTCTGGTTTTGTCTGATGATCTGAGCCTAATATGGGTAACATGCTGGTGATGTGTGTGACCTGCTGCTTGGGTGGAAAGCAGAGATTAACTGGGCACTTGGGCAGGAAAGCTGGAACACAGGTGGTGAAACTTGCCCAGTGACTTGACCGGGCAGTGGGATTGCTTTATGTGATAAGCAGATTGCAGCAGTGCCTTGCAAATGAGATGAAGCCATGAACCAGCTCAAAGGTGAATTAATCAATCATTCATCTTTATTAATTATGTATTTTACCTGCCAGCAAGCTGCTCTGACATGGGAAAACTGGTGCTTTTTGACAGTTTTTGTCTTTTGAAGGTTCTCTCTGCTGAAGACAAGATCTTTGCCATTAACAAAATATTTGTGCTGTAATTGACAGTGATTTTTAGAAAACTACAGCAAAATCTAATATGTGAAGTAGACTTTAACCCTTCTAAATCATAAATATTGACATACTGAGTGCAAAACTGACCTGTTTTCTTCTGCCATTGAGCCACAAGTGAAATGGGACAGGTCCCATTCTAGTGCCTATTTTAATACACGTGCAGGAGTTTTGGGGAAATGCAGATATCTAAAGTACTGAGCTTTATCCCCAAACAATGTTTGTTTGCCCATGGATGTTTCCATACTCTCTGTTTTAATTGCTTTCATTGCATGCTGGGTTACTGGGGACTATATCAGTATGTTTTTTACCTGTTTGTTTCTCTTTCTTATTCAACACTTGAAGGATGTTTTAACACAGAATAGGTGTGGAATAGAAACGTGGCACAGTGTTTTCTTCAAATTCCTAAATGTAACTGTGGCCTATCCCCACTGTCAGGTGTATTTTCACTTTTTCACCAGTGCTATGGGTTGACCCTTCTCCTTGTCCCCTTCCCGCTTGTTCAGCTATATTGACAAAATACTTTCAGATTGCACATTGCTTACACTTCAGTTTTAATGTGTGAGGTTTTTTAAAGATAACTAAGATTTTGGGATTTGTTTACTCAGAAGAGGAATGTTAGGGACACACTGAAGTGTGCAAGAAACCTCTGCCTGCCTACCACGTGTCTCATTCTGATTTTCATTGGCACAAGATGGCCTCTTGATGGAATTTCAAGTCTTTAAGAGACACAGTTAGAAAGAGAGGACAGGTTGGGGTGGGACCTTTGGTTCTTCAGAGCAGACAGCACCTTGGGGCAGTGTGCGCAGCTCGTATTTTGGGAGAATTTTGTCTGGGGGGCTGTGGTTTTCCAATGAGTTTCTGCTTAGGAAAGTATTCTCTCTCTCCACGTGTCTGGGGCTGACTTGCAGCAGGGACTCAATGTGGTGGACTGGTTTCATAAAGGCTTTCAAGTTCCAGAGACTGACTATAAACTTTTTCCAGAAAAATTGCTGACTAAATTAGGCAGGATGCTAGTGAGCACCTGGTGCTTACGGTCTTCCTCCCTCCTTAGTGCAGGGCCTTGCCAAGCTTGTAGACACTTAGTTTTGATGCTCCATTTGTGCTGTAGGCATTTACCTGTATTCCTGCTTGCACTCCATCAGCTGGTTTTCTAGTACAGAAGTAAAAAATCTGCATAAATGTGATGTTCGATGAGGGTACTGAATTTCCAAAGTGCATAGTGTTTTACGTTGCTTGAAACAAGAGGGAGGTACGTGTGTGACCTCACAGCTGACTTCGTGTTGTAATTCTCTTCCAGGTGAGAGACCTTACAAGTGTCAAACCTGCGAACGGACCTTTACTCTGAAGCACAGCCTGGTCCGTCACCAGCGCATCCACCAGAAAGTCAAAAATGCCCGAAACCACGGGAAGGAGAGCGACAAGGAGGAGACGCAGTCGAGGTGTGGAGAAGACAGTGAGAATGAGTCCAGCCACAGCGGCGCCAACCCCATCTCCGAAAGCGAGTGCGACTCCGCGGGGGGCGTCGGTAGCCACTCGTCCCTCGTGGGGAGCCGGAACGAGCCCCTGGCCGGCATGGTCATGGACTCCCCCTGCGGAGAGGAGAGGAGCAGCGCCTGCCTCGCCGAGCCCACCAAGAGCGCGCAGAAACAGACGGCAAAAGACCAGGAACCACGGGGCAGCTCCGAGCACGAGAGGCCCTCGGGTTTCATCCAAGACTTGCTGGAGATGCACAACGCGCCGTCTCCCATCAATCACATCCTGGCCTCTGCAGACAGTGCGCCTCAGCTCTTGGGGGTGGAATGACTTGCTAGGAGGTTGTACCCATCTCAGCAGGCAAACTGAAGCCAGCAGAGCAAGGTTTCTGGAGTCTGGTTTTGGAAGAGTGACCTTACAGCTACCGGGGAGAGTATGGCAGACTCGATGTGGTGCCATATGCCTTTCAGTATAATAATGCAAGAGACTACAGTATATACTGATTTGAGTGCCTTACTACTTTATTAGATCTTTTGGTATTATAGATTTTTTCAAAAATGATTTTAATATTTTAAAGAATTATTTGGAGAGGACCCTTTTTCATTTAAGCATTAATGTTACCTTTTGTATTGGTGTGCGTGAGCTTGTTCTTGTATATCTGTGATAGTCGCTGTGTTTTGTTCTCTGAGCTGGAAAAGGGGCAACGGGGGTGGGAGGCCCTTGGATACCATAGCCAATAACTGGAAGAAAAATGATGTGAATTTCATATGGAATAGTCAGAGGAGATGCAGAGGAGACATTGATTTATTGGGGTTTTTTTTCTCAGTAGATGTTCTTGCATTTGCCACATGGTGGAGCATTAAGCCTGTTCCAGGCCTGAACAACGTGGCAGTTGAAGGTGTTCAAAGTGGTTCAAGCCAAAAGCAGGAAACACAAACGAATTTCAACCTCATCCTTGTTTCCACTTTTCAGCATTAGAAGTGGTCTTCTGAATCCTAGGGGTTTTTTCTGGCCGTCACGGACTGAGCGCGTATACAGAGAAGAGTTACATAGCAACGTAACCTATGGGAATTATGCACCCGCTGTTACATATGTTTGATTTGCTTCAGTATATTATTATTATTATTATTATTTTATTATTATTTTATAAATCCATCAGTTCGCTTGTCTCTGCAGTCAGCAGAAGCCAATGGGCAATATTTGCCCACGGAGATGCGTAGAGCAGCTTGGATCCCGTCTCGGAGTGTTCTTGACTCGTCGCTTTCACCAGCTCCTCCTCCTGTTGTTGCAGCTCTTCTACTGTACTTTACATGAACCCCTTCCTCCGACCGGAGCGTCCCGCGGAGGCCGGCGAGGTATCGTCCCCATGCGGGGGCACATGTCCCTCGCGGTGGGTGCACGTGGCTGCGGGTGCGAGCGCGCGACAGCGCGCGGCCCCGGCTGCGTGACAGTGGCACCGCCAGTGCCGCAGTGACCTCGCTGCCGTCACGTCGGTGACAGACCGCGTCACTCACAGAGCAAAGTTACTCCGTCTTCCAGTGGAAAGCAAGAGAGAAATGCGAGCCTTACCCTCCTCTTGCTTCTGTCGTGTTCTAAGAGCAAGAAAATACTACTGGTAATAAAACTACAGATATACGACATGGTAAAAATAAATAAAATAAATTTTAAAAAAAAAACAAAAAAAAAGCAAAAAAAAAAGAAAGAAATTCTTCCTGAGATTTTGGGGTTGATGCTTGAAGACTTGAGGTGTGTGTCTAAATTTCATATCAGTAATTTAACCCCTTCAATGCTGGCAGCTGGAATTTCTCCGTATGGCTCCTGTTGCCGGCAACAGGTGACGCTCCAGCCACCAATATTGAAGGGGTTAAACGAAATGTATCCTACTGTAGCTGCGCATTTTTAGGAGTGCCCAGCATTTTTGTTGTCCTTGTCCTCGTTGTCGTTATTGTTGTTTGTTAATTGTCCTTCAGTCATGACCTCTGGGACAGACAGAGCCATAATAGCATTGCCGGAGCCTCACTGTGCTGTTCCACCACTGCAGCCCCCCAGCCCAGCCCGCACTGTGACCCTCCCTCCTCCCCACCGCAGAATCGCTTTTCCTGCTCTCACCAGACATGGAGGAAGTGGGCCTCGGACCCAGTCTATATTATATAATATATATATCTATATATATCTATATATTAAAAATTCTCGGAAAAAATTTCTGGAGACTGAAATCTCACTGTCCAGAATTCAAAGGAAGAGAAACGTTCTTGAGTAATATTCTTGCAAATAGAATAAGAGAAAATGGTTGAGGTATATGTGATTTCTATTTTTTTGTGTTTTGTTGGTTTTTTTTTTAATTTTTAAATAGGGATGTTTGAACCAGTTCAGAAACGAAGCTAACGCCAGATATAGATAAATCAGTCACAACCAATGATTCATTTGAAACTCTACCCAGGTGCATTCTACTTAATTAAAACCAGTTCACGCATCCCTTAAATTGTTATTACTATTATAATTATAATAATAATTATTATTATTATTATTATTTTGGGTATTTTTTGGTTTTTGTAATTTTTTTGTTTGTTTATTTTGGGGTTGTTGTTTTGTGTTTTTTTGTTTTGTTTTGTTTTTTTTTGCAACTCTCCACACTAAACTGCGCAATACTGTGGGGGAGAAGCCATTACTAAACTATATGCTGCAGAACAATGTAGCAAGTAATTAATTCCCAGCAGCCTGCCGGGACATCTGCTAGCAATAATCACTATTGATTTAAAGCTTTATTTAGCCTTTATCTATATCCTAGTAGAGTATAAGGTCTTGCCACATTTTATTGACATTTTTATTAGTTGAGTTTGACTGAGAACTGTTGCTGTTGTTGGGGTTTTTTTTTGTTTCCCTTCCTCCCCCAATATTAAACTGTGAAATTTATAATGTGTTTAAACTATGGGTGAATCTTAGGCTTTAGTTTGCATGTTCAGCTAATTTGTCTCTATACGATTTTCGTTTGAATCTTTTTATTTTTTTTTCCTCTCTCAGGGCTTTTACAAAAAACAAAAAAACAAAAAGAAAACAAAAAGAAAACAAAAAAAAAATCTTCTAAAATTCTTTTGCCTGAGTTGCAATGGACTTAACATGGAGATAATTCAATCACTACATTAAGCACTTGACTGTGAAAGCGCAAAATAAAATAAAGGAAAAAGAAAAAAAAAAGAGAGAACCTTGTTTGAGGCTGTTGTGAAATAACTTTAGGGGGCTATGTGACAGTCTGATTCCATTTTCAGAATGATTCATCTTCTCTTTCCTCTCTGCGTGTCTCCTTTCTCTTCTCTCTCCACGAAGGAAGTTTAATCCTAGTGATTTCATCCCATGCAGGAAACAGTAATAAATGTGTAGAATTCATATTTTTCTAAAGGGAACTTAAACTGCTGCTACGAATTGTGTACAAGACTGGTTTATGCCACATGAACAGAGAATCACACATTGTTTTGGTACTTTTATTCCTCTTTTTTTTCAGTTGTACAGTACTTCCAAATTCAAAATAAAAAGTAAAACTTGTTCTGTATCAAACCATCTAAGCAATAAAATGTTATATTTAAAAATTATAGGTTACTAAATGGGCATGGCTCTTCTTGTGGGTTTGTGGTGACTTGTTCTTAGACTTGGTGCTGCTGGAGGACGATGTGCAAGCCGGAGTTTATCTGTGCCAATGGATCACTGTTTCTCTTCCTTCAGTTGATCTGGGTTTGAGCTGGAGATGATTGCAGCACTCTGAAAACTCGTGTTCATTTTGACCAGCCTTTTCTGCTAGCCAGGCCCCTTGGAAACGCTGCTTGTCTCCCGGTGCAGCTCCTCAACGCAGCAACTGAAGACAGCAGAAAAGTGCTGATTTTCCTGCATAGACAGGGTCAGGATTCTCTTTTTTAATTAATGGTAGCCCTGTGGTCACACAGGTGAGCATCCTCCCAGCATGTAGTGTACCAGTCACTTCTTCTATAAACTAAGTAGGTTTCTGCTACCATAGTTTTCTTCTTGCATAAATGTTTATGGCCGCAAACTCTGCAGGATGTATTCAAAAGCCACGTGCATGTGTCAAAAAAAGAGACAAATCCTTTGTTTTAGCTTGTCAGAGCTGCTTTTGCTAGCTGCATTTTATATGCTTTCCTATAAATAAAACCCATTTCACAGGACAGGGAGCCAAAGAATCACGTGAGTTGTGTATCCAGCTATGGAGGCCAGGGAATTGCAGTGAAGCTGAAGCATCCACATCTTCCTAAGTCCTGCTGCGGTGGTGCTTTCTGGCAAAGAAGTGAACCAGGTTCAGAATGAGAGACAGACTTGGGGATGAACTGCTGCTGCTTTCCTCCCTCAAGCCTTCTGCACCTTCTTGATGGAGGTGAAAATTCCTCACAGCAGTTTGTCTGCTGAGGAGACCTTGGTCCCTCACCCCCAGAGAGGGACAGGTTAAAACAGAAGCAGTCAGCCAGCCAGCTCAGCCCCAAACCAAGGATATCTGATGAAGTGGGGCTCTGAAGGCCCTCTGGGTGAGCTCATGGGGTGGGAACATCATTTCTGAGGAAGGAAACCTGCCGAAAATAATTTTTCCTCCCACCCACTGACCTGAATCGCCTCTCCTCTCGTGAGACTGATGGGAAGCTCGCATCCAAGTGGCCCAGGGACCTGTCAGGAGGTGTAAAACCAAATGGGATGAGTTTATGTGGCTAGGAAGTGATGGTGACTAATAACTTAGGAAACAGATGACTTAGAAAGCATTTGGTTCTTGGCCATGGAAGGGTGTAATTGCTGTGCCCAGCCCTTTTCTCCTTCTACCTCAGCTTGAGACCTCTATTGCTGATTTGGGAATTCCTCTGTTCTTCTGGCCTTGGACAGGGTAACACCCTGCTGGCCAGCTGAACTTCTCTCCTTGCTGGCGTTTCCCTTTCCCTCTTCCTGCCTCCACTCCTTCTCATACTAACACCCATGGCAGCAATAGCTGGAGCTGGTCTGAAACACCAGGTTAGCAGAGAGGTGGGGAGGTGGTGGTGGTATCTCTGTGTGCCTCCTCCCACTTACTGCTTCCTCGCCTCGTTCCCTAAAGCTTTTTTCCCCACCTTGGCAAGGGTGAAGCTGAGCTGAATTCCTGACATGGACAGGGAGAGTGGCTCAGTCCCTTTGAGAGGCACTGCTGTGGATCTCTCACAGCAGAGCTTCAGGCAAGGAGGCCCTTGTGCTCTCCCAGAGCATTAAAGTTTGGGGAAGACCCGAGTGCTATGCCACCACAGGGATGCCTTGGTAGCAAGGGGCACCAGGAAAGAGGTTTTTTCTGAAGTGTGGAGTGTAAAGCTGTGGGGAAGGGCAGGAGATAGCAGTGGATGAAAACTGGCTGCCCCAAAGCAGAAAGTGGAGCCTGGTTGGAGCGTCTCTCCCATTCTTGCTGCTACTGAAACACAAACAAGTGAAGAGAAAGGAATAAAGTTACTTGCTGTTCATTATGCAGCTGTCTCAAAGTAGCCATCATTTGTGAGATGGGAGGGCTGTACAACTACACCAAGATCTTCAGAAAGTGAGTGCAATGAGAAATTATTTGCTGTTGACACTTAACAGTGTTTTGGCCTTTTCTGTTGGAAAAAGCCTTTCTCATATAAAATGAGTCACTATTCAACTAGCAAAGGCAGCAAGGGGCAAAAGTTTACTTGAAACCTTTCCTTCTTCACATGTCTCCAGTTTGGGGAATCATACATGCCATTTTCTTTCGGTACTTCTGTAGTTATGAGGGGATTGAAAATGTCACTTTTGGAAACCCTGAAGTTCGGATTATCTGCAAAAGGGAGACTCAAGACCCCAGCACAGGATAACCAGCACTTTCTGTATGTCAGAGAGGCACCATTTCCATCACCCACTCTGACAATGCAAAAAAAAAGATGGAGAAATGCATTGGATTGTTCAATTAAAACATCTCTTAATCGCTGGACTCTGGAAAAAGAGGCTATGCCAGCACTTCCCAAAAACCTGAGTACTGGAATAGCCAGCATCAGGGAGGGGAGTGAATAAAACCTGTACAAGATACCAGCATCTTCGGATGTCATGGGTTAGCTGAGCCCTCCAGCCGAGGAGGAGCTGTGTTGAATTACTTTCCCCCTTTCATCCCTTCCTTGGCAGTAATCACTGTGCAGGGGGGAGGCTGCACCCACACTGCAACAGCCACAGGAGCAGTGAGGGGGATGCTGGGATTTGGGCTCTGATCTGTTTGGAAATAAAGGAATAGGCTTAAATTTTGAAAGCCTTCTCCACGTCAGGGATGAGCTGAATGTTCCATGAAAAATGGTCTGAGTGAGGTTGGGAAGGGGGAAGAGTGTGTATGAGGAAAGGTGTAGCTGTTAGTGGAATGGCATGATTGTACATGCATATCTGCATCCTAGGTTGGGTGGTGTCTGAGCTGGTCACCAGGCTGAGTGTGCTCTGCAGGTTGGAAGCACGTCACTACGGTGATCCCTGGAGTCCTGAGTGTGCTCTGGAGCTCCTGGGTTTGGCCATCAGCCCCACACTAGAGCTGCCCTCCTTGCTCCATGTCCTCATCTGCACACTCAGGGAACAGGAGAAACAAACATCCAGGAGCATATTGTTGTCCCTATCTAGAAACTGGTGACTGCTGGTACCTGCAGATTTGCTGGCGGATTAGAGGATTTCCCTAGTCTTGGGCAATTAGTGCCATGCTGGATCACAGGATTAGAAAAACTGGAAACAAACCTAAAATGACAGGAGGTACAGCACAGCTGGGGTTCCTGAGCCAACAGCTCTGCTGAGGGTATGTATGGTCACAGTCTGTTCCTCTGATTTTGAAGTAAGAACATTAACAGGAAGAGTGGTTTGTTCATGGAGTCCCTGCCAGAGCCTAAAGCGTCTCCTGCAGGTGCAGGGTCTTGCACTCAGCAAATTCAGACCTCTTGGCCTTTTCCAACACAGCCTCCATGGTGTCCTTCCTTGTCCCCTCAGCTGAGGACTCTGTTTTTGCAATGCAGTTTCAGGGAATGCATTTTTAGGTGATTTTAAGCTCTTCTCACCAGTCCTGAAAGGATGATTTATGCCAAGTAAGCCCAAGGTGTTTCTCCCACAGCATGAGTTGGTGTCAGACACAGATGGTGTGTGCCCTTGGCCCTATGACAAGTTAGAGACTCACTTGTCAGTGGTGTGCATGTATTCCTTGGGAACTATTAGAGGACTGAGGGGGAAAGGAAAGGGCAGGGGGAGAACAGCACAGGGAGGAGTGCTCTGGGACAGAATTATTTGGTGTTTCTAGGATTTGTCACCAGCTGCACCACTACAAAAGGTACAGAAGCTGCAAGAGCACCATCCCTGTGGGCTGCCAGGCCTCATCAGTGGCTTCACCTGGGCAGGGAGGCCCATTTAAAGCAAAGGGAGGAATGAAGGTTGGGCAGTGGGCAAGGGGAAAGTTGTTTGTAAGCAACATCAAGTTGTGTATTGTAAAAGATGTTTATGAGGCTGTTTTTCCAGAAGTATCTTTTTTTAAAAAAAGGAGTAGATTAGTACCTGGGAGAAAATGGGTGGAGAGGCTGAGGGGCAGTTGGCCTGCTCACAGGCAGCAGTGAAGACACAGACTGCTGGCAGGTCACTCACAGAACAGATGCCCAGAAGATACAGGAGCATCTATCTTGCTATTGTTGTATGCAAATGCCACCTCAGGTAAGTGACACGTAACCTGCACACACCTGCCAGTGTTAATGGGCTGCCTGAGAGATAACATGCTTGACTGAACTCTCTGGGGGAGATGTAAACCTCCAGAGTATTGCAAGGAAAGGGACTCTGATGTCTTAATTTCAAGATGTGTCTGAAATCACCCTGTAGAAGTGGAACTAAATGAAGTTGAGAAGCATTGTTGAGGCTTTTCAAAAAATCTAGTATCATCTACTTTCATTTCTCAAGATGCCCTGTCAGAATAAAAATAAAAAATCCTCACAAAAATGAAGCAGTTTTTCATATATAAACAGTAACAAGTGAGAAGACTTCTCTGGCTCACCCAACCTCACTGCGTAATGCAGTAGAAAATGTTGTAGCAATCCTCTAACTAGTAGGAACTGAAAATAGCTTTCTCCTTTGCTGTGCTTGTTTACTTCTCCTGTGCCAGATCTGTCTCTTGTTTGGCAGGGAAAACTGCCAGGAGTGTATGAGGAAACTCTGGAGGATGGGTGTTTGGAATACGCTGTTGTGAAAGCACTTGAACTTCTCTAGAGCCTTTCAGCAGAAGGCTGTGAAGCAGTTTACGAACATCAGTTAATGGGAGGCTGTAAATAAGAGAAATCTGCTGGAGAAAAGCTTTTAATGATGAGAGGCCTGATCTGTTTTAACAATCTCGGAGGCAGAGGTTAATGTGGTGAAGGCCAGCGCTGCTGTGGGCTGACTTTCCGTCAGTAATTTTTAGCCTGTAACCACACGTAGGGCATGGCCCTGCTGCTCGTAAAAATGTGCCAAGGCTGGGACAGGATGTCAGCCAGAGGGGCTGGTGGCTCCATGACAGGACCTGACCCGAGCATGGGGGCATGAGGAACAGCAGAAATAAATGCTCCTGTGAACATGTGCACACAGGACCGTGGGCCCTGCCCTCAGACGTGGAGTTGTGTTTGGGTAACAAAAGCAATTGGTGCATTAGCCTTTCCTCCCATCTCCTGTTATCTGATCCTGCAGAGAATGACAGCCTAGGTTTGTTGTTTTCAGTGAGCAGCATCTGACCTCCAGGGAATCTGCACCCAAAAGAAGTATTTGTACTTTATTTGGGGTGATGGCAGTGCTAGCTGTGAGATGCAGGCTTGCTTTGACCACTATTCCTCCCAGGTTTTTGCAGCTCAAGCTTTACCACATGACCCATGCTTGGGAAGGGGAAAGCAATGGGCTAAACCTGGCTGTAAACAGAGGCTGTAACCTTTTTCGGTTTTTTTTTGTTTAACAATTTGTCATTGCTGTTTAATTTTACCAAAGCAAAGCCCTGCTAGATGCATGGGGCTGCCAGGCAGCAGCTGGGGAGGAGGCAGCACATGTTCCTCCCATGTCCTGCTGCATGCACTGCTGCTGAATGGGATCCAGCACTCCTGGATTTGCACACTTGGCCAGAAAAGTCTCTTTTTGGTAGCAGGACATTTAACACCATTTAATCTGCTGCCTTCAAGATGCCTGTCTGACTGAAGCTTTACAGCCTCCAAGGTTACATGCATCACATCCACAATACTTCACAGCCAGAGAAAATCGAAGTATCAACTTGGCTGCATACACACAGCAGTCAGTGAAGTTTGCACCACAACACAGTGAGTCTGATCTTTCATCTTGCGCCTACATCACTCTCTGTCAGTATTTTGAAGTTGAAACCACAGAGGCTGCCTAGCACAGCTACCCAAGACCCAGAACTCACTAGAAAATGAGCCAGGGCTGTAGGTGAGAGAGAGGGAGGGATCTGGAGAAGTGAGAAACCTAGGCACCCCATGGTAATACATTTTGGAACAGGATGCAGAGCCACATGCTGCTTTTAATGCATTTGGTTATTACTTTTTGTGAAATACCAAAGTTACCTCTTTGGCAGTTTTTAACTTTTTCTGAACTGTAAGAGTCTCTTTAGCAGCTGCAAAACACCTGCTTAAAAATTAAGGTGCTTAACTTGAACAATACTTAATTCA